AAGGAGTGGACTTTAAATGRCCAAAACAGACTAGTGACCCTGGTTTGCAGGTTGGTTTCCTACCACAGAAGCTGGTGAGATGTTGAGCAGTTTGAGTACTGGAGATGCCTGTTCAGTCTCAACAGAAAGTTGGGCAGGACATCACAGGAGCAGAGCCCTGTTACAGCTGATCCTGATTGGCAGCCGGTGGCATGAYTGTCACAGTTGTGACAGTGTAATCAGTGATCAGCAGCCTGGCTTACACCCACAATCCTGGCATGGATCTCCAGGAAAGACTGGAGGACAGGCAGGCAAGTGCTGAGCAGCCYGTCCTGTCTCACCAAGGGAAAAGAGCACAGTCCCACCACTTCAAATCCATCGGATTGAGTCAATCTGAACACGCAAGGTATTGCCTGAAAGTCAAACAAGAAGCACAGCACAGACTCTGTGCCCATCCAGGCTTACTGCTTTCAGAGGGGTCACAGGAAGGGGAGAAATCTGGTGAGGAACAAAGGTGCCGCTTCTCAGCTCCATYAACAAACTTCCCCTCAACACAAACATCACGTCTTTATTTTAAACATGTGGGGTTTTTCTCCCTAGACAGAGACAGTAGTTGGGACTTCTGGAAAGGTGTTTGGGCAGAACTAGCACCACAAGACATCTGGCAGAGGAGAAAAAAGCAAGAACAGGATTTCTACAGGGTCTCTTAAAGAATCACTGTTTACCCTAAAATWCTCTGTCCCTAAAACAATCTAGTGCTTTCCTCTCACCTAGCCATAGTCATTGGCTTTTTAGTAACCTACAATATGTCATGATTTTCAGGTGAGCCTCTTGTTTTACAACAGTAGCAGTTCCTCTATTTATAACAAATTCACACTTGTAAGGTGTTATCAACTACTTCTGTCTCCCTGTCACACAGAGATGCTGCTTAAAGAGAAAATTGTTTTATGTATGTTTGAAGACTTCTAAAGCTAGATAATTTTGTATTTCCCACCCTACTGAGCTAGGAAATTAACAGCAAAACTTTATCCTGCTCTCTAGGAAAYCTGATTTAGCCAACGATATGATCAGGTAGTAGCTACAGAATCAGCTATTTATTTAATTTAAACAAAACTGGTCTTCCAGCAGACAGTGTAGGGATGAAATAATACATCATGCTAAGATTCCTGAGCCAGTACTTCTCCCCTGCATCCTTTCTGTGTGTGCTGAAGTCCACTGCTGCTCTGTGTTAAATAAGCTGTGGTAGAATGAAAAGCAACAAATTTGTGCTCCCTGGGTGCTGGGCAACTAATTTAGTTCTTGCTGGCACACGTATTGTAAATAGAAAATGATGGTACCGTTTCATGCTGATAACATTTCTATGAAAGTTAATAAATTAACAGCAAGATTTTTTTTTCTTCCTACCTATCTATCCTTCCCATTAAAAAGGGCCGTGTTGCATTTAATCCAAAGCAAGCAGATGATGTTAGGTGTCATCTCATGTGATGACTTAACCAAGAGCTGGAACCCTAAACACCAGATGTGCCCTCACCTGCTTGGCAACACACCTTCCTTCCTTCACCTTTGTCCAGGAGGAATTCCTACCCCTTTGGAACTAAAGAAAAGCGAAAGACTTCTGAGCTGGACAGCTGTGCACGTCCTAGAAGCAACGTGAGAGAGATGACTCTTGGGAGGGGCTCATTTTCTTGTCCTCACATGGAGGTGGARGGAAACTGGTCAACAGCTTAGATGAGTTATCTCACTTGGCAGCAAGAGCAGAGTTATAGGTGCTGATTTTCATCAGGTGATGGGCTGAGCTCATCTCTATACGAATTGGTACAAACAGAACACCTCCCCTGGGTAATTTTCATACTCATCAAAACCAGTCTTGTAATATGCACAAGTTGGTCACRACATCCTGATTCCTACATTGAAGAGCGTTACCATCTTCAGCTGAGSTAGCTGAAACCAAATGCTTCCACAYCCTTCCAGTGACTGGAATATGGTTTCATTTTTTATGGGCTTAATGTACAAAGATAATATAAAAATACACCAGAATATATAAATAAATCAACTTCTTTTAAGAAAACTGAAGAATCAGATGTAACTTTCTGTGCCTGAGATTAACAATGCTTCCTCCACAGTTTTTTTTTTTAATAGAAATCATTGGATTGAAATTCAACAGCTTAGAGTATTTTGCTTTTAGGGTTGTATGAACCTGTACACAACCACTCTGTTCAAGGATAGGGCTGTACCTACAGAAGTATTTTTTTTTTTTCAGATTCTCACCTGAAATTGCTAAACAACAATATTCTTCACAGACATGTARTTTAGATCTAATCAAATACCAGGTAATTCTGTCCCCAGCACAAGTTTTTTTGTAACCAAAGACTAAAAGATTACAACACCAGATAAAAAAAGTTTTACAAAGGCATAAATGTAGGGKAAAAGCCCAAAGCAAATGAGGTTGACTAAGCTCAAAGTAAAATTTATTAGGAAATAAACAAAAATGAGTGATCAGTCCAACAGTAAAACAAGACATAAGCATATCTGGGGACATTGGAAAAGTTAAGAAGTCCCTGCTGACATTAGACTTTTATATTTCAATCACCCCATGTAAACGGGAAAGAGAAAATCCTTAGGGTTTTGAACTGTATTGATAGCATTTATTTTAACTAATTTCAAATTAATACAAACAGTGAAAGGTTTAAGAGCCTGCAGCATCTTGTCTCCTCTACTGCTTCATATCACCTGGTGGCCCTGTCTGCACCCCTCCTGGGCTGATACCACTTGCTTTGATATTGACACAGTTCAGGCTCAATCCAGTCTTCAAAYAAAAATGGGCATGAAAATCCGTCAATCCCCCTTTCCGCTCTGAGCCCAGGGCATGTGCATGCTTCCCAAGGACTGCACAATCCAGTGGGTATTACTTTACACTTAATAAAATTAACAGCCTTTACAGGAAATAGGATTTGGWTTGACATTTCTGCCACAGGATCAGAGTCTGGTAGATGTACTATGATATCAGTCCTGATCCCTTTCATATCACTGACATTATTCGCTCAGTTTGCTAAAATAAGTTTATTAGATTGAATATTAAAAAGCAGAAGAAAAGTAGATAAGAAAGACTGTTTCTCTTATTTTAGATAATATTTGTCCTGTTCTGCGTTGGCTGCCATTTACTAACCAAACACAGTTCACTCTATTTACTATTTCAACTTGTAAGAAGGGATGTTTCAGATAAAATACAAGAAAGAATGTCTCAGTGTCATGGTTTTACTCGGTCTGATTTTTGGTGGTGGGGGATGGGACCAAGAAACCACAAAGATGGCTCCTGTGAGGAAGTTCTAGAGGCTCTCTTCTTCTTCTCCAGCAAAAGGAGCCCTATCCCCTGTGTTTTAGAGCCAATCCATTATGGCTCTGAGGTTGATGGACAGGCTGCCCATCAGGCCTGGGCCAATTGCACAGGTTGGTTACACCTCTGTGATGACGTATTACCTTGTACTTAAGAAGAATTCAAAACAAGATAGGGGCGGCCGCCATGTAGTTCTTACGTTGTTAGTATTATGCACTGGGGAAAAACAGAGTGGGAGGGTGAGGAGATGTAAGAAGAAAACTGGAAACCCAAGATCAAAATAAGGAGAAGATGGGATGAGTTGCTGTGGTATTGCTGTGGTTCTGGAGCATGGAGAAAATAAGTTGTTCTCAAAAGGACTATTTTACCAATGAGAGACCTGTATAGTAAAAGGAGAGCAACCTTGCTCTGAGGAAAAAAAAACCTGGCCTTTGAGGACTGGACTAAACTGATCAGGAGCCAAAAAGGGGTAAGAGGCTTGGCCCCCACGACGTTTGAAGCGAGTTGATGCTAAGAAGAAAATGAGTTCTGCGGGGAGGAGGAGATGCCCCCACCCTACGTCTGAAGTAAGTGGATGCTTAGAAGAAGCTGTGTTCTGCCAGGAGAATTGTGATAGTGGTCTTATGCCGCCGAAACAACGCAGTTTGGCCTTGAGGAACATTCTTTCCTTTCTCCTACGAGGTAAAGAAAATASTCCCTTGCCATCAGCAGATATACACTGACTGTTTCTTGGGAAAAGAACTTCCACAGCTTGGAGCTGTAAGAACWCTTCTCCTATGATGCTGGACGACAACCGTAATGAGTAGTTTGATCTATGTTAGACTTTCATTCCTGTCCCCTGTGTGCGCGGGAAGACATGGSRGGTGGAGAGGGAGGACCCGAGAAAAAGATGGGTCCTGGAAAGGATAACATGTGTCTTGGTATGTCCGTTTTTATTTTTCTTCTCCTTGTAAATTTGTCCCTAT